TAGTCCACTGAATGTAGTCGCTTACCCCCTTCAATAGCTGGTGGGGAACGAGCTGGCCTTCGCGCCAAAGCCAGCCTCACTAACTCTCCCAATCATCCGCAGCGAAGCAAGGCTGTGGGTGTCCAAGTGCGACTCTCAATAAAGCTTGGCATGTTCCTCAGTACTGTCAGCATACATTCAGCTCGACACCAAGATTGTTCACGAATCTTTATTTGACTGATGTTTTGGCGTCGTCGCCTTCTTCAGAACCTGGAAAGCCGAAAGACATTCTCGAAACCACCCGAAACGTCAGTCGAATAAAGATTCGTTAACAATCTTGGTGTCAAGCTGAATCAGTTTGCTGACTGTGGGTACAGCCAGGTTGATGCACGTTGCAGACACGGTGGTGTTGTGCGACATTCGCCCGGGTCCTACTTGATTTGCCGATCAAGTGTTGCAGTGTTGTGACCCTACGAGCGTAGAAATACCGGCTAGTTTATGCGCGTCGCCGCAACGCGGATCTCCCAAAGTACACTCGATGATGTCTGTGCTCGGGTTGCATCTCGAAAAAGTTTTTTTTCAAACTTCCAAGAATAAGCGAGTTGTTGGTAGTTGCGCGTTTCATCCCTCCATAGTGTTATTTGGCATTCAAAGTCTGCGTGAATTTCGTGTATATCGTTTTGGTGGAAAAAGGCATACGCCTCTTATGAGAGGCAGGAGACCAAATGAATTCGTCAAGAAAAAGTACTTCAAGTCATCACAAGAATGCTGAGTTGTGGGCAAAAGTCGCCCCAGGCGGGTGGCGTAACGGATAGCGCACTCGCCCGGAAAGCGTGAGGTGCGGGTTCGACTCCCGCCTGGGGCACGACTTTTGCCCACAACTCAGCATTCTTGTGATAACATTCGGAACGCGTACTGCGGCGTTAAACAGCAGTTATCATAATATAAAAACATCTACTTCAAGTCATGTTTTTATAATGGAAGCGACCGATTCACAGCTACCCTTTAGAGTTCTGCTTTTTTGAGCGTTGACGCGCTTTTACGTGGATGCATGTTTGTTTTCACCATGAATTTTTTTTTCAGGAAAATCCATCAGTGGCAGCTGAGGCTAATCATGTGAAGGCAAGGCGAGCACTTGAGAAATATCTGCACTACTATGAACGTTTCGAGAATCACAGCAAGTCATTAAAGTTGGAACAGCAATTCCGTGACAAGATCCAACGAAAGATTGAAGCTAAGGTAAAGGAATGTTGACCACTAAAAATTGTGGTTTAGACTTTTTTTTCCTGCTGTTGTGTAAGAGTGTGTGTGGTTTGTCACGATACTGTAGAAAATATAGACGATATCGATGGCTTTCAACTGTTTAGGTTAACGATCATGATGGTACATGGATCGATTGGCAGTACCTTCACAATGCTGCCAGCCTCCTTACGAAATGCCGATACACTCTACAATACACTTACCCATTTGCGTATTTCATGGAAAATGGTGCCAGG